GCGGATACAACATCTTTGTTGGTATGTGGTGCTGAGGATTGAACCCGGGCCGCACGCATGCCAGGCGAGCGTGCTACCGCTTGAGCCACATTCCCAGCCCTAAAATGCTTGTTTTTAAGGTGAGAGCTGTGTCTGATATATCTTTGCATCTCCAGTGTTAAGCACAAGGCTTGGTGTGTAGCAATTTTTTTTTTTTTCTTTTTTTTGGTACTGGGGATTGAACCCAGGGGCACTTAACTACTGAGCCACATTCCTGGCCTCTTTTTATTTTTAGACAAGGGCTTCCTAAGTTGCTTAGGGTTTTGCTAAGTTGCTAAGGCTGGCTCTTGCCTCAGCTACCAAAACTGCTGGGATTAAAAGTGTGTGCCACTGTATCAAGCTGATGTGTAGTAACTAAACCTGCCCTTTTAAAGTGAGTGCATTCTATAAATGGGGAGTACAGGATTATGGGGTGTACATGATCTTGGGGGAGATGTAAGGAGAGGAAAATTTATATATTCTAGAGGTTAACTGAACCCATTTCTCAACACATCAAGTTAGCAGATTCTATTCTAAATTAAGAGTCTGAAGATCCACTATGTTCTGTGTAAGTGAAGGTGTGCAACAAAGAGAGCTCGGGCTCTTGAACAACTGTGTCCTTCTATGGTACACTGTCTTACCTTAGGTTAGACTGAGTAGGCTCAGTGCTTGAGGAAGGTTCAAGACTGATTGGAAGAATCTTGTCATTTTTGTTATGATCGTATCTCTGAAAGAAAAGGGGTATTACTTTATGTGAGCAGAAACCAGTCCTTTATTTCAGTGCATGGGTTCAAAAATGCTAATCCCACCCAGTTTTTCATCAACATTTTCCAGATAATTTTAGGACTGCTTTACCTAGAATTAATGCAAAACTGTATACAAGTTGGTCTGAAAGCTGCAAGTTTAGAAAACAGTTGAGAAGCTTCCATCTAGCCATTAGTCCTCCTTATTTGGTAGGAAAAGAATTTCAATGTTTGAATTCACAGATGGTGCAAATAAGCAGCAGGGTTGCCCTCTTACATTTTTATTTTAACTGTCACATATCGCCTCTTACAATATTTGCTTTATCCAAAGCACTTTAAAATCCTGCTAGCTTTTGCAAAGTACCAAGCATAATATTTAACTCAACAGGACTGAGTGGAAGAAAAAAATATTAACAGCTTTCAGTTGCTGATACAGAAAACATTGTATAGTAAAGGAGTTTAATTTGATGCCAGATAATTACATATTTCTTGTAAGAAGTAAATAAAATATTAAGAGAGCAATCAGGAGCCTCTGGTCAAAGATTTATAGGAAGAGAACCACGAGGTACAGATTTTCAAATGAAAGACAGGAATGAAGGATGATTTCTCTTGCATGCCTTTTCAATGAGATGCAGAGCAAGAAAATGACAGCCAGTTTGGCAAAAGAGACTTGATTTTCTTTTGAATAAAAAAGCATTTGGTAATTCTTCTTGTTTCTATTTTTAAGGCAAAGTGTCCTAGAAATTCAGAAGGCTCTGTGATTACCTGAAATGCTTATAAGGATCCAGTGTCTAAGCTTTTGTTTTTCAGTTTGGACTTGGTGCTTGAAAGTCTGTTTAATTTCTATGATTCTTAACGGGGAAGCTTGTTGGGTAGGGTTGAAAACTATGCTCATATAGCTAACAGCCAAAGCCCTAACTCTGACTGTCAGAAATTTTTTTTTGCAGGCAGGACTGTGAAGACACACTGCAGAAGGAAAACTGATTCTTGGGACTGCTCCACTCCACACACTTCACCAGCTCTGTGCCAGCTGGAACAGAATACCATTCATCTTCTTTTTCTTTTATTTTAATGGCTACAGCTTTTCTAGTGCCTTCTCCCAAGAGACCAACTGCAGGATGAACAGGGCAGTTTGCCACTTCTCAGGGTTGGAGACAATATAGGCACTGCAAAGTCCCACAAACTTGCACTCTAATAATTCTCAAGACCTCTGGAGTAAGGAGATGCCAGTGCTATAAGAACTCAAGAGAAACTACCCATTTCTCAAGCATTTAGAATAAACAAATTCAAACTCTCCATAGAGACAAGAAGCTGGAAAGAGTCTAATAATGCCTAAAGCAACTAATTTTAAAAATAAATACTTTTTTTTTCCCTCTGAAGAACAACCCCCACTGAAAAAATGATAGAGGTCTGAGTATACACATCAACCACATGGAAAAATCAATCAAAAACAGGATCTGTGGGCATGTGGAGAGAAACAACGAAGGAACTTAATCCCTACTGAGATGCTTCTCAAAAGAAAAATGTGGCAACACACATGGTAATACAAGTAGGAGACCAAAGTATGGCTGTTCCAGATGCGAAGAGGCTGGGATGCAAATGGAGACATGGGCAACTGTCTTTCAGAGACTCCCTGAGGATGAGGCAAGAAACTGTTTTTCTAGTCACTTAGCCATACCTTTACTTGAGCATGTGCCCATCGTACCACCAGCTTCTTAGACAGTGCCAGCTTGCCATTGAGACACTGAATGGCTTGTTCTGCTTCCTGTCCAGAAAAGAGATGAAAGTTGGTCATAAATTCAAAAGCTTATTCATCACTTTGTATTCTTACAGGGCCTTATTAGCTTTGATGGCTGAGTTTCTAACCAAATTACTTTTGGTAAATGCTTAGCAAAGGGTTTATAATTTTAAAAGGCAGAGTTTAAAAAAAGGTATAAATCTTTAAAAGTAAGACAAAATTCAAATTCTGGCTGTTACTTGTTGGCAGTATAATGTCTGGCAGGTCACTTAATGTCTTTGTCACCTATAAAATATGGTATACTATTACATGCTCCTCAGTGGTGGCTGTAAGGATTCAGAGTGCATGGAAAGTGTGGAACACATGGTAAGCAATTAACAAGTGTTAGCAAACATCATGATTCTTATTCAGTGATACCTTTCTGTACACCTCCAGAAATTTTAATCCCTACATGGACAATAGAATTATATCCTGGACCAGGACTTACTCCCTGGATCCAAAATGAAAAACAGCAATGGCTTCAAAGGATATGGGAGTGAAGGAAACTAGGCCGGAAAAAGCAGGATTGAGTCAAAGAGACTGAACAAGGTATCTGTGTGAGTCAATCTATGCACCTGGTTTTAAGAGCTACAAGTTCCCTGACCCTTTCCCCATCAGATATTGGAGCAACAAGGTTGAGAGGAATTCCTGAAGCTGGATAACAGTCACTCTAGGTCACTCCCAGGAAACCTGGCTATACTTTCTTATCCTGACACATCTGTTTTGCCCTATTTCTGTCCATGAGCACTGAGCCAAATGTAACCCAAATTTAGTGGAGGCAAAGAAGTCCTTAAGGAACAGAAGATGAAAAGAAAGTCCTAGAGGGCAGGGAGAGTCTAAAACTGAGCATAAGACAAATAAGCACTCTAGTATGGTTTTACAGTAAAACCAGTGCTTATTTGTCTTATGTTCTGTCCCTCCAAAGCTCATCAACATGGCATTCAACAAATATTTTTTTTGGTACCCATTGTGTGTCAGGCATTGGATATTAATTGACCATCCTGGTTTCTCTAAAAAATAATAAGTCAGACTGCTAAATAAGAGACACATTATCCTTTTCAGATTTCATTTGATAAATTAGAACTTATATGGTATTCTATTAGTTCTGAGGTATCAGCAATAGTAAGATGTCAGCAAGGGATAAGTGTTTTTAAAAACAAATAACCTAAAACATTATTTCAAAGTTCAAGTATTCGATGACACTGAATGTCAACTGTGTTTTAATTTATTCTTTCTGTAACATAACATCCCATTATAATGTACATTTTTCAACAAAAATTGAAGCCAAAAGAAGTTGAGACATATGCTCAAAGTCAGTAAATAAAAGAGTTGAAAATACAGGTATGTTTTGTGACTTTTAGTCCAATGTTTTTAAACCAGCATTTGTTCCCAACATGACTTCTGATTTTAGGAGTCTGTAAGAATCCTCATCACACTATTATCAGTAAGGAAAAATAAAGTATTTAAGAATACTAACTATGTGGGTATTCTTTCACTTCTCTCAAAAACTTGAATAATTAGAATAACATGTCACTTATTACTATTTACAAAATTAGAGAAAATAAAAAATACCCAGGACTGACAGGAACAAATAACACCCTCAAACAGTCTCAGAACATACTGATACAACATTTCTAGAAGGCATTTTGATAACTGTATAAAATAATTAAAAAACCCTATATGCATGACCTTTGAGGTGCCAATCCATTTCCAGAAATGTGAAAAACATATTTATACATATAATTACATACATGTAATATATGATTACATATACACATATAGTTAGAGAAGATATTCATTATTGTGAGTTTACACTAGTCAAACATTGGAGATAACTTAAGCAGCTTAAGACATCGAATACTTGAACTTTGAAATAATGTTTCAGATTATTTGTTTTTAAAAATTTTAAGAATTTGGGATCAGTCATATGTTATATAATGAAATATACAGTCATAAAAATGTCATTAGCTGGGCTGAGGTTGTGGCTCAGCAGTAGAGTGCTCACTTTGCACATGCGAGATCCTTAGCACCACATAAAAATATATGAATAAAATAAAGATATTGTGTCCAACTACAACTAAAAAATAAATATTAAAAAATGTCATTAACTTTTATTTGCACTGTAAGTCACATGATGACAAAAAGTTTTAATATATTTTGAGGGGCTAACATAATAATATGATCTTATTTGTTTACCTGTATATATGTGTACGTGTGTGAATGTGAAGAAAGAATAAAACTGGACAGATACATCACTAAATATTAAATGATTTCTGTGTATTGGGCTTAGGGATTGAAAAATTTTTTGATTTCTTATATTCATCCAAAATAAGCATGTATTACTTTGTTTTTTTGGTACCGGGATTGAACCCAGGGGCACTTAACTACTGAGCTACATCCTTAGCCTTTTATTTTAGAGATAGGGTCTTGCTAAGTTGCTGAGGCTGGCTTTGAACTATGATGCTCCTGCCTCAGCCTCTCAGCTAGTGGGGTTACAGGTATGTGCCATTACACCTGTCTGTAAGTTATTATTAATAAAACAGTAACTAGGCAATGTTGCTAACATATAACAAAGTTATAGAGAATACCAGGTAGCATCTTTATATATATATATATATATATGTTTCAGTTTCCCACCCAAGAATGTAGGAAGACTCTAGAACACTGTATGGTATACAATAGGTACTTATCAATGTTAGATAAATGGATTAAGTCTGAGCTGGGTGCCAGGGATGGGGTGGTGATTACTT